GCTGTAGGAGATTTTAAAGCCCCGGATCTACGTTTCTGTTGTCGATGCGCCGGCTTTAAAGTTCTTGAGCCCCGCTATGACATCCCATCATGTCAACACTTCAGCCAAAAAGTTGTAGCAGCACTTTATGAAAAAGCTAAAACTGATATTGTCAACAAGCCCTGGACCAGATTAAAGCTCTGTCACCTGATGATGATGATGGAGAGATTCAACCACCTCATAACAAATGATGACCATTCAAGAAGAGGTATTGCTTATTGTATTATTGTGATCTAATTATTATTTTTTATTATTATAACTTTTGTTATAATCTTATTAACTCTTTTTTTTTTTACCTCTTTGTGTTTTATTTCCAGTCTGGGACAGAGATAGGAGCTGAGTCTTCTTCCTCGTCAGGGAAATCCACCAGAGATCACCTCCAGCTAAGAATCTGTGATGACTTAACTTTTTGAACTTATCCATGGACAGGTGTGAGCAGGTCCAAGAAGAGGTTGTGAGTAATGAGGCCAAATACAGCCACACTGCAAAATTAGCAGAGTGTTACCTCTCTATTCCTGTTACTGTCGTTAGTAGGAATGTGTGATATGGCATAAAATTCAAATCACGATATGTATTGTGAAGGGTGGCGATAACGATATATATCGCAATGTGTTTTTTGGTATAAAACTAACTTTAAAAAAAAAAGCATAGGGTGTCCTTTTGCCATCATATGTTTTGAATTAAGAAAATTCCACTACTAGGTCCAGAGAGTTTTTAAATAACAAATCAAGTATTAGGCTTCTTTCTTGTTGTGCAAAACAGCGCAAAAGATATCAAATGTAGTTTTAGCCACATGTTTTAAACAGAAGAATATGTTGTTAACTCTTAACAGTTTCCAGTCTTACTTAATAAACGAACAGCAACAGAGCAGCATTTGACACTGAAACACTTCACCCTCCAACCTCTAGTGGGCGTCTCCTTCCACTTTAATGGAGCTGACACAAAATGAGTCTGTGGCTTTGACCAGAGGGTCTCGCAGTAAAATCACACAACACAGCGTTCTTATCACAGATCAGAGAGCAGGTTTCTCTACAGATGACCAACGATTACTTTAAATTTCGAAGGAAAAAAACAAACAAAAAAACTTTCGATGGAACACGGCGTTTTGCGCATGCGTCAGAATACGGCAACACTACGGCAAGCCAGCTGTAGTTAGCTTGTAGCTTCGCTACTTAGCTCTCGAAGAAAAGACGGTAACACCACTT